CTCTTTGAGATACGATAAGTTTATAGGTTGTTAATCATTGCAATAAGATCGTCCGTCTTCATTCTTTTATTGTCTACGAAAAGATTCTGCATTTTTCGCCTCTGAATTGCCTAATCCAAGCAAACACCTGAACGTCACAAGCAAGAAAGTATAAAATACTCGCACGACCAACTCCGAAGTGAGGAAGAAACTCAAATTTGCGGCGCTAATCTGCTGTTAGCTTCACTTGCAGTTCTTTCGGAACTATATACATACCGTCTGTTTCCGTATGGCTGTCACAAATGTCTGGATCAAGGTGCTTTGATCGCGAGAATGGCCACGACAAAACGAAGCAAACGAAAGCCTCATGGTCGCAAAATATTCTCACCTCACCAACTTTTTGCAGAATGATATCACTTGCAATTTTTTGCTGAGTTCTTGCCTCTTGACACAGTGCTAATGCCCACTGAAAAGGCATCCAGTATTTGGCGTATCTGTACTGAATCTGATCGAACAACTCTTTTTCATGTTCCATCATGAAACCTGTAAGTTGAATGCATGTAATCTTGATGTAGTTCTTGAGATACCAGTCAGTGATACCTCTTTACGCGAAACTGAGAAATATCCGAAAATGTTGTTACATCTCTCTTGTTGACCCATGATTTATGGTACCAAAAGGTAGCTGTCAACGCTAACAAACCTGCTGCAACAAGCGCATCAACAGTGGGAAATCGTTTCCGAACACGCATACTGATATCCCTGAAGACGAGTGCTTGTGATAGCACACAATATCGCACAATATTTCTTCGTTGCATCCGTGTTTTCTCATCAGTACCCCGAACGTACGCGGCCACCATTAAACCGATGCTGGAAACAGTTCGAATCCACTTTCTTAGAGCTTCATTCGCCGCTAAGCATAGATTATTTTTTAATGAGATCATCGCATTGTGCTACCTATCAAGGTATGAATTTATCATTTATGATTTTCTCGTTTCCAAACAGAATCTGTTCCTTTTCTCAAAACGATCTGTAATACGGCCGGTATCAAGTGAATGAACAATGTTCTCTAAGCAGCTGACTATCATTTACAACCACAGTGATGATTGCTCAGAAAAGACATTATTGGTGATTCTCTCGATAGGATGGCTGGCTTTGTTCAGAAGCATCAAAAAGGATCAAAAACGTATGGAGAGGTAGCACATATTACGAAAGCACCAACGAACGAATACGGATGCAGTTGAAATGGAAACGAAACTGCTCTGATGACCAACTTGTCAATGTATCCGATATTGTTGAAGAAATTAATCCATCGGTTCAGTACTGACGTAACGAAGAAACCGAGCATAAAATTTATCGGAATATATTCCAGTTTATCATCACAATAATGTACAAATTGCTCGAACGTTCTGCAATTGCCAAACAAAAATTCTAAAGAAACTCGCTATAACAAGTCAACTGCAGTCTAATTTCAGTGATTTCTTTTGTGTACAAGAGTAGGAAACGAACATTGTTAATGCTTAAATCAGCGGAATATCTTACTAAATTGGGAATGGATTCTTGTCATCCATTGCTATCAGTGATGACTAAAACGCTGGATCAGTTTTTACGAAGTCATGCAAACGCATCAGATCATCAACGTAATGGACACTATTGCATAGTGTCGAAATGAATTTCAAAAAACATTTTTTTGTGCAACCTGATCTGATCGGTGGTTAGTGCGAGTCGATA